TGATTGTTGAGTTTGAAGCTCCATCACTTAAACCTGGTTTTCTTCAACATCACCGTCCATCAGACGCTCATCTTATTAACTGTTCATGCAGAGAGTTTCCAAGCCGACTGCTTTCTTGTGTGATTTTTGCTTTTTACAAACTTCTCATAAGAGCTAGTGAAGTACATACATTGCCTTTAAAGGGAAAACAGGGACATTAAGTTAACTGGGACAAATTTAGACTGAGTCATCTCACCCTACTGTGATCCATTCACCCTTCATCTCGTCAGTTTTCTTCTCTTGGTCCTTTTCCGCCACAACATCTTCAGAGTCGCTCACTTGACCTCTGACCTGTATTTCGTCTTCAGTCTTTTCCACGTCGTTGTGGCTCCAGCTGGACTCTTGAATTTGTTCTGTGTCCTGTAACGACCTCGTACGGCTCTGATCACCTCCGTCCTCAACTTCCTGCTCAAGTCGCTCGTGGCCGTTCACTTGATTGTCTTCAGGTTGTTCTCTGGTTTCTCCGGGTTCCCGAAGTGCAGGATCCACAGTCGAGGCCTCGTCTACAGACAAGTGAAGAACTGCTGCGTCCAGCTTGGTGATGATGGCGCTCAGTTTGTCCAGAATGTTCTCTACGTCTTCTCCAACGCTCAGAAGAACGTCGCTGAAGGAGTCCAAACAGGGTTCTATATCAGCTGAAACAGAACAGACATATAGAACGTCTCACAACAATTACTTTTACTTGACAATCTGCTTTATTTAGAGACAGGCTGCAGGTCATTTAAACATTTTATTGGACCAGACTCACAAACATTTACACCAACGTCAGCAGTTTCAATGTTAACACACACAAAAACTCCCCTTTAATCCAATCTTTCAACTTTTTCAGACACTTGAGCTACTTTTAGCGTTTAAACTCCCGACACATTTGCATTTTAAAATATTTTAAACTCACTTAAGTTCCTTCTTTTCAACTGATGCTCCATCTGCTTTCAGCACATCTGCACTTAAACTGAGTTCATCCATTTAAACCAAGCTTATATCGTGCCCCTTTTGCAGGAAATTAATGAATGTCTCATGAGCCTATGATGTGTCTTTTGATTTTCAGCTCATAATAGTGGAAAGATGGTTAGTTTTAGAATGTCATATAAATACTTTTTTAACGCCAAAGGAGATATTCTGCTGTTACAGTAACAAACAGAAAGGGTAAAGTGAGCACCACCACAACAGAAAAATCAAAAATATAATAGAAATATAATAAATATGCTGAGATACAAAATGCACTACGAAGTGTAAAATATACTATGAATAAAATAATGCATGAAATTGAAAAACGCACCAACAAATGTCGAATGCTAGCAATAAATATAAACCGTGAATGAGGAAATTAAAGACCTGCAACATGTGCAAGTAATGCAATGAGTGCAGAAAAACAGACAACTGCTAAAACAACAAAGATGTTTTACCTTCACTGGTTTTAAGCCTGGACTGAATGGGCTGGTTGAGTGTCTGCAGCTTTAAATGTAGCTGAGCTGCTGCGACTTTTTTAAAATTACTTATACAGTTTTCCCTCAGCAATCATTGAACATAGAAATATCACCACATTTGAACTCATGTGTTTGGTGAGTTTGTCAGATAACATTATAAAAGCAGTGCTGAGCTTGAATGTGGCTCTAACGTGACTCCTGGTTAACATGCAATCCTACAGGGCTGCATTTCACCCATTCTGTTGTCTTATAACAGAAAAAGAAAAATACATAAAGGAGCCTTATTGGGAATTCAGCTGTATTAAAATGCTGTATATCAGAATCAGAAATACTTTATTGGTTCCTGAGGGGAACTTGCTAACTTTAAAGTTGCTCCCATTCAAAGTCTTTGAAATTTAAGCCGCAGAAACAATACATAGATGAACACAAGTAGAAGAATTTGTGCTAAAAATATCATAAAATGCAAAAGGTGGCTTGTTCTAAGAAGAAGTTCTCACCCTCTTATTCAATGTTTAACGTCGCTAAATAAGTGATTGACATAATTTTTTTCACTTTTATTTAAAGGACCATTTACACATAAACTTGGGTAGCACTTTTAATTATCCTAATTTTCTGGAGGTTTAAATTGCTGCGGTCAAACTGAACCCAGGGACAAAAGATGTCAGTAAATGTGAAGCGTTAAACCCCCACATACCTGCTTCAGACTGCCGATCGCCGCCCCCTGGTGGAGACTTGTTGACACTAAAGGGACGTTCTCTCATTGCTTCTCTCCAAGCTGTCAGTCCGTCTGAATGAAAACCACTCAAGTCTCTCAACAGTCGCAGAACTTTCCGCTCTCTTTCACTCCTTTCACCCTCCCTCTCCTCTTCTGCCGGACCGAGCATCCCTCCTTCGCTTCCTCTTTGTGTTTCCTCTCCTGAGCATCTTCTCCCCCCCACTGGTCCATTATGAGCATCTCTGTAGCGTCTGAGCCCCTGAATAGTTTGGGTCAGCTCGTTGAGGAGCCTGTCCTCGGTCCTGGTGCAAGACTTTGCTTCGTCCATTTGTTTTTTTTATTCACATGCAGATTCACAAAAATTCAAAAGATGAGAATAACAAGTGTCTGATCTGTTTTCTGGCCTCTCGGGTGAAAAATATCAAATCATGATTTAAAAAACACGGCATTCCTCGTGTGCCTTTGCAGCCGAGGACCCCCCTGGTTCGGTGTGTCCCTGGCATTGAGGGGTTTCTGTGCACAAGCTATCCCAGTTTACTGGAGCCAGCGTCTGTATTTATACGGCTGCCAGCAGTAAAACATGTTGCCAAGGCGACCCCTGGAGGCGTGGCGGGGGGAGACAAAAGAGCAGCCACAGAGCAAAAAGACTCCGAGTGCTGTCCTCCAGACATCCTCTGTTCTCCCGTCACTCATTTTACTGCTTGTACGTCCAGACAGTAAAAGATATGGACTCCTCACACGGCCCCGAGGATTCCAGAAACACCCAACCATCGATTTGTGTTATATTTTTATGAGAAATGTTGTTTCAGGGCATTTTAATGACACACAAACACTGTGTGGACGGTCATTTTGTGGGTTTCCGGTGGAATTTCTGGCTTTCTAGTTGCGTATAGTTAAACTTTATGGCAGGTTTAATAATGTAGTTTCAACAAAGAGCTACACTTTTGAAAAGCCAAAAGAGGCCTTAAATTGTCTCTTCTCAAACATGTTTGTTCAAAAATGACGCAAAATGTGGCATTTAAATCAGCACGACGACATTTTTCTTACACCGTGGAATGTTGAACGTGGTGTAAAAATGATGCTTTAAGTTCACTCTGCTGTGGAAACAGGCAGCTGCAGACACCACCAACACACTCATCTTGTGCGTTACATATTCAATCATAACCTGAAAACCCAGTCGTAGTGAAGCTGGAAATATTTGTGATAGCGTCACAAAGTTAAACATTTCCTTCTGCAATGTAGCGGCGTAGAAATGAAAAATAAAAACACAACACAAAGCTGTGTAATGTTTGAGGAGATGTGCTTGTGAACGCTAGAAGATATGTCGGCTAAGTGTCCTGACAAAAATGCAAATGATTACTGTATTTGAATTTAGATTATCACGACATAATAAGAAAAGGTGTTACTGATAGTGATGGTGACGTCTCTGTTGCACCAAGAGTCCCACTGAGCACTGACAGCGTGTCAGTGAACCATCAAGCAGCACCTTGAAACTGAAAAAATATAAATATAGATATATAACATAAATATCATTATGCCGGTTCGCGTCCCGGTGGGGGCACCAGAATCTTTCTGTGTGGAGTTTGCATGTTCTCCCCGTGCGGGTTCTTCGGCTTCCTCCCACACAGTCCAAAAACATGTTGAGGTTAATTGGTGATTCTAAATTGTCCGTTGGTGTGAATGTGAGTGTGCTTGGTTGTCTGTCTCTAAGTGTAGCCCTGTGATAGACTGGTGACCTGTCCAGGGTGTCTCCTGCCTTCACCCTAAGTCAGCTGGGATAGACTCCAGCCCCCCCATGACCCTAGTGAGGATTAAGCGGTGTATAGATAATGGATGGATGATGATATTATTACAGCTCTGCTTGTCCTGTTGTGATGAGTCAGTGTCCTCAGACAAAAGGCCACAGCTCTGCTGCACTTTGTCTCCATCGTGTGGCTGATTTCATAAATGATCCCCATCCATGTTTTTAGTCATTATTATTAATTTTTATATGAATAGTAATACTGTGAAGAAAGAAATACACAACAGGGCAACTTTAAAAATGAGAAGAGATTTTTTTTTTTTTTTTTTTTAAAGGTTCTAATTACATTTTGTTGATAGGCAAGTTAAGTTGTTTTAAAAAAAAATAAAGAAAAATGTTGCTCCAGAAAAAAAGTTTATTTATTTATTTTTGTTTTCATTTACAGTTGAAATGAACTGAAACTGAATTTAATTAATTGACAATTAAAAGCAGTTACATTTTTAGTTTCTCAGTAAAACAAACAAACAAAAAAATCTACTTTTGCCAAGTTTTTACCAATAAATATTACATGAATCAGGCTGTGAATCATGAATGAACAAGTCCCTCGATTAAAAACCTTCAGAATATCGACTGAAATAAAACATTTTGTAGGTGCTACTGAAATGGAGATGAGTGACTCAGAGTGAAAACTGACAGGAGAAAATTTAACCATAAAACTTCCCCCAGTTGATTACTTACTTTAATATATATGCATTCAATTTTTTTTAAAGGAATGTTATGTTTACATATGCACGTTATCCATTATGTAGTTAAATATGTGCTGATTTCGATATATTTTTTCCAGAACAGAAATTCTGAAAAGCAGATAAAGCCAGGTTCAAAATTCTTGTTTCATGTTATTGGCACATTGGAGTCAAATGTTTTTTTTTTGTTTTTTTTTTTTAAATAAAGCACTTGTTGGATATCAATTTCCACCATGTTTTAGGAATAAAATAATCTATAAATCAGGCTATGAATTATTAATTCATAATTATTTATGAGAAGAAATCCTTCTTGAAAGCTTCAGGAGATAAATAGGAATAAAACTGAGCAATTTGATGTGTAAGAAAAAACAAAAACATGCATTTTTATTGGAAACTAGAACTTATACAAAAGGAAAAAAAAGAACTAATATGCATCACTAGAGAAGTTCCTAATGTGATTCCTTACATTAACACAATTACTGTCTGTGTGGCAGGTTTTAAAAGTTTTAGTGGATCAATTTGCAAATTCTATCATATCACACTTTCCTAATAAATGAAAACGAAACGAAGTGTGTCTGAGGAAGGATGCCTGAGCTGCATTCCTGTCTGTGCCGTTAAATGCATGTCCCGCGGCCTCAGGATCAAGCTGAGACACGCAGGAAACATCAGGAGGCTGCACTTTGTTGTTCTCACATGAAAGAGGCACTTTTTTTTTTTTTTTATCATCATGGTGTCTGACAGGCAGCTCTGCGCGGAGACACTAACTTCTCCATCCGCGTAATCACAGTGCAAAAGTGTCACCCACAAGATCCAGCTGCTCATTAACGCGATCAGAGGCTCGGACAGTTTGTTTTTGTCTTTTATTAGCGGCGCGCACCGAAGTGGAAGGTTACTGCTCGCACTCAACTCCTGAAATGGGCGTGGAGTTTTTACGCGCAGCGACGGAAACAGTCGAGAGTGTGTCAAAAGGCGGTGGGGAGACACGCAGAGCGGCGTTAATGTGACACAAAGTGGGACACATCCAGTGCGTAAAGGTGCGCGGATAAAGCTTTCCAACCCGCAGGTAAGTTTACCCAAACACCGGACGCGAGCGCGCACGTCAAACACGCGTTGCGTTTATTTCGCAAAAACAAGCAAGTGGCTCGGTTGAAATAAACAACCACAGCTGGAAGAAATCATCACGTACTTGTAATTTAAGCGTACAAAGGTGAAGCAAAAGTGACTTCAACTGAGATCTGTTGCGCTAAACTGATGCGTAAACACGCAGATCTCACACGTGCGAACCTGTGGTGCTTTCACTGACTCCTGTCCAAACAGCTGAGGGGAAGTCTAAAAGTGCTTTTCTTTCAGCAAACATGTGCCATGCTGTGTTTTCAATGGAAGGTAGTAGTGGAGGGGGGTGCGTACAAACTGTAAAAGCATGCGCAGGTATTTTTTTTTTCCCTCCTCAAACCAGGAAGGGAACACAATTTGGACTTTGTTCCAAGTTCACTGGCTCTGGGATGCACTCAAGTATGAGATGGGTTTGTGTTGGTAGGTGTGCATGCATGGGCGTGCAAATGCTGTGACTCACCGCCTTCACCTGAGGTGTTGGAGAAGGTGCCTTGTGCATGACACACACCTCCTGTTTGTTTTGATAGAGGAAGCTGCATATTGCTCTAATAAACTCCTCTTGGATGTTGCCTAGTTCATGACACACACACACACACACACATGCTGCTTCATATGTCCCCATGCCCATGTGGCAAGCTGTTTATCTAGTGTAGTTCTCTTTTTTTTTTTGTGCTCTGCTATTGATCTGCACACTTTATGGGTTCTCACACTGGGCAGTAGCTGCGGATCAAAACTCCAATATCCAGCCTTTAATAATGTTTGCCCATGTGTGTGCTTTATAGTGGGTGTGTGAGCGCAGAAAGAAAAAAAAGCAGGCCGGGTCAAATGTGTGAGCAAGCTTTGGCGTGTGCACGCCGCTGGATGTGAGCCAATACAGGTCCCTGCGTGTTATAACAGCACAGTCCTCACCCGGGCTGCTCTCGTAGGCCGTATAGATTTCTGTTATGAGGACACAGCGACTTTCAGTTTGTGTCCTCAATGCAGAGAGCAAAAAGATGAAAAAGACACGCTGCATCTACATATGGGTTCACAAATAAACCGGTCAGTTTCTCTTTATCTTGTACTTGCAAACGCACACACATCAAAACATTGCGTTTACTTGAAAGCAGAAGTGACTCTTCAGGTCCCCTGGGTGCTGCAGGCTTTGCAACCCAAAAGAGGAGAAGTGGACATGATGAGAGTTGATGTATCTTCCTGTGAGTCTCATGTGTGAACAGATGATAGAAAGATAGACGGTGACTCGAGTCATCGGCGCTCGTGTTTGAAACAGGTGTGACAGAAGAAGCAGGAAACAGACACACAACGATGACTCGCCATTAGCGTTAATATGTAAGCTGTTGGATTTTTAAACTCTGTTGTTGTGGTTGCAGTTAAAGGAAATCTGGTCTTACATCAGAGATTTATTTTAAGCTACGTCTTTGTGGTTTTTCTAAGACTTCTTACCCAAACCTTATCATAGGGCCAAGCTGTGATGGCACTGTTTCCTCACTGCTATTGCTGCTTCCTGCTGTTTCATTCAGGAGTGTCACACGTTTAGATCTGCTTATATCGGCTGGTGTGCTTTTTTTGCGTATTGCACAGTGCGCCTGCATGTTTTCAGATAAACTTTAAAGGAGTAGATAATGTGGTGAGTGCATGCAAAGCTTGCAAGGTGAAAACAGGAGCTAAGCAGGTTTAAAACAGGAGCATCTCCTGAATGACACGTTTGTGGTTGCACAGGGTGATGTCCCAAACTGTTTCTTGTGGTGACTTCCTGGAATCTAAGGACAAAACCCATGTTGACACTTTGGTTTGTATAACAGCCTTGTTTCCACTGCAATGCTAAGCTAGGCTAGGCTGACTATTTCCCAGCTCTCACAAGTGAATGCATTTCTCAAAATGTTGAACTGTTCCTTAAACCTCTGAACCTCAAACAGTTTCCAGGTATTTTTTCCCCCCACTTCTATGGAAACAGAAGTGTAGAGAACTCAGAAATGTCCTTTGTGAGGTACAGCAAAGTTCTAATGACGATGAATCCCAAAACAAAAAAACAAAAGTTACATTTCTTGGATTATTTATTTTACAACATTTGAGAAAAACTTGAATCAAATCGTACAACATTTCCCCAAGTGGCCACAGGTGGTATTAACCCTTTCAACACTATAGCTCGCTATACTGGTCGGCCGCTTTCACCCCGTCGTCTACCCTCCCTGCAGATCGGTATCGCGGTATACTTTCTGTTACATTCATTTTGATTGGCTATCAGTGGGAATCCCTGTATGTGAACAAGCGAGTCAGTCATGAAATAAATTATGCTAATAATAATAATAATCATAATCATAATTGCATACAGGGTTCTCGCCAGCGTCATAACAGCCGCTGTTGCCTGACAAAATTACGCTGCAAATCGGGTCGATACGCTGTTTTTGAGAGTACGTAACGGGAAAATATTTAACAACAAGCACCGATGGAGTTTCACTACCGTCGTCTTCGCTGCTAACGCTGCTATTCGCTCGCGTATTCGTATTCGTTGCTAACGGTTAGCCTCATCAACGACCCTTCCCCCCAGAACACTGCAAAGCAGGGGTGGGCAATCCTGGTCCTGGAGGGCCACAATCCTGCATGTTGTAGATGTTTCCCTCTTCCAACACACCTGGTTCAAATGATCAGCTCATCATCAAGCTCTGCAGAAACCTGATAACGATCATTTGAATCAGGTGTGTTGGAAGAGGGAAACATCTACAACATGCAGGATTGTGGCCCTCCAGGACCAGGATTGGACACCCCTGCTGTAAAGGAATCCTGGCGCATAGGCATATATTTCTGGTAATTCAAGCCTAAGTTATTGAGTGTTGAAAGGGTTAATATATGCATCCATACTTGATTTCTACCGGCTCAGTGCAAACAGTTCATCCCATTTCGCCTTAAAACTGTTGGTCGCGGCTGTGTCACTACTGGCTTCAGGGTTGCGCCGAAGAACAAAGAATTTTCCATTTTTACAGAATCTGGTAATTGCAAGTAGCTTTGTTTTTTTCCTAATGAGACATATAGAATGAAGCAATATTGATGAAATATCACAGTGTAAAGCTTTGATAAATTTTCTTGGGGAAATTATACATCATACATGATTACTTCACAGATTGTCGGATGTTAAAAATCCCCAAAAATGTGGTTTCTGATTCTGATAAATGCTGCAATTTTCGCAATTGAACCAAAAAAAAAATGTCATTCATATTTAAAGATAACATGCTTTTCAAACCCGCTGGTGGATTGGGGAGTTCAGAGGGTTAAATTAGGTCACGTTTTCACAGCCTGAGCCAATTAATGCCTTCAAATTGACACGTACAGTAAAGGTTAAATCTTTAAATTCTCACCTGCGGAACTTCGCTCTAAGACAAAATCAATATCTGCTCCGGGAAATGTTGGCTTGAGGAAAAGTGCACATCATTAAAGCGTAACTGGTCTTTTAAATAATTCCTGGCTTGGATGTTTAAAAGTTTAATAATCTTGGTACAATTATGGTGTCATGAAGTTGGATCTCAAGTAGAAGATTAAATTCTGTGTGATCACTCATACGCCTTCTCTACAGCCTTTTCCTTTACCCATCACTTATTTTTATCTCCTTTTTTTTTGTGCCTACAGTGTAAAGCCGGACTACTTCATCTTCTAAAAGTCTTCCTAATGTGGCAGATGTGGGATTAGAGCACCATGTTGGAGCCTCCAGAGCCCAGCCAGGAGATTGTGGAGTGGCTGTCCACCTTGCGCCTATCCCAGTACGTCTCATGTTTCCAGCAGGGAGGCTATCAAGCTCTGGAAGACTGCAAGGACCTGACGGATGAGCGCCTCCTGGAGCTTCAAGTGCTGCCGACGGGCCACCGTAGACGCATCCTCCGGAGTTTGGAAGCACTGGGGTTGCAGCAGCAGAGCGGAGACGAAGATGAGGAGGAAGGTGTTGAGAGCAGGGCGGGTCGGAGGGCACCAGTGCCGCATCCAAGACACATCTTCCTAAAGGATAAAAGGAGGGGGATGTCATGTCAGAAGAAACAGCCAAATGAGAGGAGGCAGTGTGATCTGGAAGGGAGTCAGACTTTGCCTCCAGGAGCAGGACTGGGAACAGGAGCTGTTCCAGAGAGCAGTTACCCGTCCCCGCCTAAACCGGCCCCACGTAACCCCCAGAACATCCAGACATCTACGTCTGCACGTAGCTGCGTACCGGCTTCCAGGCACTCCAGCAGCAGTCGCAGTAGTAGCAGCAGAAACAGCAGCAGCAGCGAGTCGCTCTCCACGTCTGAAATGCCCTCAGACTGGGAGGTTTCCTCAGAAGACACCTTCTATTCTACCACTGACTCGGTCCCCTGTCCGAATGAAGCCCCGATCCCGAGTGTGGCTGAAGACCAGGGGGTGTTTCTTGGAGAAATGGTTGAAAACTCAATTTATGAGACACAGCCCAGGTTGAGGAAATCTGTACGTCCACGGCTCACTCGCTCCTACCGGTTGAGGCACCGGCCCGTTCCTGAAATCCCAAACCAGACCGGAGTACCACTACAGGACAGGTACTGCAGTTAAAGTAGGCGTGACATTTGGGGAAATATGTTTTCTTCCTTGTTGAATGCTAGAGGTGAAGATTGATATTAATTTGATGGTCTGTCTGTATGCTAAAGATATACAGTAGCTAGTTAGCATAGCATAGCTTAGCATAACTTACCTTATAAAGCTGTGTCTGAAATTACTCCCTATTTACTAGACAGTGCACTGTATTTGCTGTCCGGCAGTTTGAGCATCCTTTGTAATTTTAAGGATTATATACAGGGCTGCGAAGCAAATATGGAAAGTATGGAAAAGTATGGAATTTGATTTTATAAATTTCCAGGTCTGGAAAAGTATGGAAAATGGAAACTATTGTTTGGAAAAATACTCATGTTTCCAAGACTACTACCACTGTTCTATTTTCTAAAACACAAAATTACGAGTATCTAAAAAAAGAAGTGGCTCGATCTGTTTTTCAGGCCCTTAGCAGCACAGCTAAAACGCATAGCACAGTAGGCTACGCATTCATATAATTGATCCATGGCTACGTGTCCCAGAAAACATTTGGGCAGATTGACAAGTTGAATGCCCGCCCTCTGCTCCTATCCTCTTCCAACCCATTGGCCCGTCCAGGTGTCGTCAAGTTTCACTGCTGCTTTGACAGACAGGTGATGTCCACAAAGTTTGTGAGTGAGCTATTCAAAATGTCTTGTATGATTGTTGACAGAACTCATAATGGGTAAATTCTCTGACGACTGGCTCATAAATTCCAAATATAAAGACTGGTTGGATCCCGAGTGGATAAAGAAAGCTAAATGCAGACTTTGTGTGAAATCATTTGACATCTCCGACATGGGGGAGGCGGCGGTTGTGAGTCATATGCAGGGGAAAAAACACTTTCGTCTTGTCACCGCATCCTCTGACTGAGAGTCACAGCGTCGTTGGCTAAACCCAGCATGAGACCAAGTCCGACAACATCAAGTGAACTAAGTTCACTATTTGAATTTTTTTTTACTGAGAAGTCTGGAAAATAAAGTCTGGAAAAAGTTTTGAATTTTGAAATTTCAAATGTGTAGGAACCCTGTATATAGTGTCCTCAAAAATGAAACTGAAACAAAAATGGTCGTGTCCTTAGAATGTGCATTACTTTCAGTTCTTCCATTTCACACATTTACAGATTAAATTAGTGAATTCACAAAAACAAAACCCTTCTTCTTGCTTTTCACTACTATATACTAAAAGTATAAAATGTGGTACACTTGTATACTTTTGGATCTTGGAATATTTTCAGAAATGAAGTCAAAAACATCACACAGTGGCCAGGGCAGCCATTTTGCTTTCTGCCAACACAGAGTCATGGATTTTGCACCATATCTTACGAACCAAATATGATAACACAGTAATTGTATTATCTGCCCATTTGTTTTGATGGTCAAGGATTACAAAGATCTTATATGCATCATCGTAAGTGGAGTTTTAAAAGCTTAAATATTTTGTTCTTTGACCCAAATAATACAGTGACTGTAAAGAGTAGAACAATATTCAGTATGACCTGAACAAATTAGTGTCCAGTGCAAAGATTTACTTCAAAAACCTGATTTCAGAGACACATTTGCTTGTTTTGTTGTTTAATCTACTCTACACTCTCTTTCATAGTTTGCTATACATTGACATGCAGCTCTGCACTTTACGGAGGCTTTTGAAATGCCCCTGGCAGCTTTTTAATGTAGTCACAGCTTGAGAGTGGGAAAAATTGACAAAACCTTTTCTGTTGTATCATTCTGGTTCATGAGATAAGATGCAAAATACACAATTTGACGAAGGCGGAAAGTAAAATGGCCGACATTTCTGCCACAAGGTTGATGAAAAACATAAGATTCATGCATTTATGAGGAACATACCACCTTATGTTTGACACATATCATTTAACAAACAATTTATGATGTGTTGATATTAAGATTATATAACCGCTGTACAGAGCTAGGCTAGCTGTTCTTCTTTCATGTGTAAGCTAAGCTAACCATCTCTGGGCGTAGCTAAGCTAAATGCCCGCTGGAGATCACTTCATATGTACCTCCAGGCTACATAAATGGTATCAATCTTCTCTTTTTTTATTCTTGGCAAGAGAGTGAATAAACGTACTTCTCAAAATGTCTAACGTCTGCGTAAAAGGAATCAGATTTTTGTTTTTAATCTCTCTCTTTTCTCTACGCTAACCATCTGCTGGCAGCAGCTTCACATTTACGGCGCGGACATGAGAGTTGTATCAATCATCTCATCTAACTCAGCCAGAAGTAACTTTCATGTAAATTCCACTAAATGTTGAACTACTTCTTCAAGCAGAAAGTTTCCCGAAAGTTCACGAGCAGTTTTTGAGAACTAATCAAACGAGTCGAGATGTGAAAAGCACTCAGAGAAGTAGATATTCATGCTGCCGTGGTCGTGAATGATTATGAAAAACACGTCTTTCTGCGCTTCGCTCTCCGATTTACTGTTACGGAGAACCCGAAGCCACTAATTTCACATTCAATTCGGCATATATTAATACCACGGGCCGTGTACATTGTGTTGCTTCTGAACTGTGAAACTTCCACATCTCTATTCTGCAGGCCTTTACATTTACTACCTGTTTTTTCCCCCCACGTGCTGCACCGGTGGTTCTAATCCGCTGATTTTCCTTCCTCCTCAGGAACGCACCACCAGCGCAAACAAGCAGCCCTGAACACCTAACCGGCTCCGAAGGTCCCACCGGTGCAAACGGCATACAGAAAGGTACACACAGTCTTTCAGCTGCATCCGCTTTATCTCTGCTATGAATATTTCATTCGGCAGTCGAGTCAGCGGTGCTGTTGTTTGCCCGGATGAAAGTGGGGAGAGGAGATGATGGCGGTGGTGGCGGTGCGTCGGCGGGGTTGAGTCGAGAGAGAGGGGTGTTCGGCGGCGGTGTCGTGGGAAACGCTGGCACCCCTCGTTTCAAGTGCTCATCTCACAGGGAATACGCTCGCTCACATCTTGTCCCTCAGCGAGACCCTGGTGTGTATTCCTGTCGCACGCCTCTCCAAAGTTTTTTTAGAAGTTGTTTAACTTTGCTAACAACACACAGGGCTTGTCGTACAACCAGTACAAATATGTTTTTGAATTCATCCCTGGCTGTATTTATTGGGCTTAGTCAGCCTCCTCCTCCTCCTCCTCCTCCTCCTCCTCCTCGGGTGTTCTCCGAGGATTCACATGATGACGAACAGACACCTGCGAACATCTTCTTGGGATCACGTTTGACCATATTGTGACATTATCCCTTCCAGCGAATCAACAGATTTCTGACCATTTTTAAGCTTAATCTCCCCTCACGCTCCTTTTTTTTTTTTGTCATCCCCTTTCCCTTCCTCGCTCCGTGCGCCTTTACTGCACTACTCTCTTGGCAGGCCTTGTTTTTCCAACTTTTTCCTCTGTATGGAACATTACAGGGAGCGAGACTTGAGAGGAAGGCGAGACAGTGAAGTGGGTTTGGGAGGAACGAGGAGGAGGAGATGGATGCAAAACAGGCTGAGAGAGACAGAGGAAGAGAGGGAGCCAAGACGGTCCCAGAGCAGGGAGACGGGGAGCTAAAACTCCCTTCACAGCGAGGACTAGCAAGGCGTTATTTGACATCGCGTTTTACCCGAGCATATTTGAAGAGTTTATTCCGAGATGAGATTCAGAACGTGTATGGAAAAGAAAAAAAAGTGCAGTGTCGTCTCACAGATTGATTGTTGTATTCAATCAGAACTGGAGGCTGGCAGAATTTTAATTAACACCCTCTCCCCTCCTCTCACAAATGCTTTTTTTTTTTTTTCCCCACCAGTAAAATCTCATTGAGAAAACAGTTTCCTCTGTAGTGCTTCTTCAGCAGCTTTGCCGCAGATTTCTCAATAATTAGAATGAAAAATGATAAAAATATAATGGCAGGTGCTGGCTGACTTCCTAAAGATGATGATGCTCTGATATACCAGCGTAATCCCAAATGGCAGACTGTGCACAAACTCCTTTTAAGAAATCTAAAGTTTTTTTGTCGAGCTGTGACCACATCACCGGAGAAATCACACTCATGCCTTCTTTTCTAGGATTTTTGAGAGAAAATAAGCAAACTTTGAAAACAATTACACCTATTTTAATTTGTGCACCAGCGTATTTCAGGGCTCAGTTGAACCCTTCCGTGGGAATTCAACACTTGAATAATCACAGCATGTGCAACGCGAAAGGAAATAGACTTTTTCTTTTCTTCGCAGTCGCACAGTTTGTCTCCTGAATAGTGTTGAATCAGCCGAATGATTTCTTAGGATTCAGACATGCTTTGGAATAGATGTGAAAATTCCAAGTTTGCTAATGTGAGAATTTGTCTGTATGAAAGAGAGTATTTTGGATTTTGACCATAAGCGGTTGGAAGTTGGGCTCTTAGATTGTGTGATCAGCAGTTTTCATTTATGTGGAAACCGTGTTGATGAATCAATGATAAAATGCTTGTGATGTTGTGATTC